TCACAGCGTAACGCAGACAACCCAATCGAGAGTGCGGCACTCTATCCAGAGTTTCCCAGAGCACCTCGTGTCTATCTCCACCAACATTCAAGATCACGCGTGCCGATTTGGCTCGACTTCCGATTATAGCCTCACGAGTAGGCAGCGGTCCACCAAACATCTGTGTAGTCAGATTTTCAAACGGACGCGGCATCAGCATGTTGAGGGTAAAGTTGGTTGAGGTGTTACAACGTTTGTGAATTCTTGCGAACCTTTGAGTGGCATTCATCTTGTCAACCAGACGTCGAAGAAGCATACGCGAATGCTTCCATGCACTGCGGACCTTGACACGCTGGCTACACCGACTAGGAGTCTTGAATCTGCAAGCTGTGGGACTTTTCGAACGTGCGCACTCCTGGGCTTTGAGAATGAACGGAGCCACTGGAACAGGACTGGTGGTAGTTGACCAAGATGACGGTTGCATGATGGGAAGCTCGCTAGGGCCTTCTCGGAGAGGACATTTCGCATTATGTTGCTACCAGTGACTCACGCTCCAAGCTGATTCGTCGGAGGTCGGCGATTGGACAATATGTTAAAGTTTTCCTGTTTATTTAGAAGACCAATCAAGTCCGACCAATGGCCTAATTTATTTTAAGCCCCTTGCGTTCGTAAAGGGCGCAAGTGAAGCCTGGATGCAGACTAAAATCACAAGCTTATTACACATTAACAGTAAAAGTAATAGAGATTTATTAGAGTCAGCTTAAAAGACGTGTATTGGCATGCTATGTAGTAGCATGATCATTCGAACTTCATTTTTGCCAAATGTTTTTAACCATCTCCTCTTTAAAATTCAAGTTTATTAAATATCGTAATTTTCAAGACTAAGAGTTTTATAAGCAATTGTAGTTACTGTAGCATATAGTCAAAATTAACACAATTTACCTGTTGCTGATGAATAACCCATCAAACTTGAAACTTGTCATCAAAATATCGTGTAATTTAGGGTCAAGTATTCTATTTCTATCGCCTATGTCCTCTCTTAAAACTCCATCAATATTTTTTACCAGCGCATTATTGAGTAAACAGCATTTAACGTCGGTTCATTACCTAAATATGGTTTGGTACAAAACCTCGCTCCTAAAAACTGCACATTTACCAGCAGTCCATACACCACCTTCCATAAATATGGCTTATTCTTCAGCATTAATATCACGTTTCAAAGCATTTGATATGGCTTAGCTGAAATAGAGGAATAAACATAGGATAGCTTAAAATTGTAGACCGCGAGATTATGTTTAGAAATGACATTATAAATATCAATTATGGACAATTAATTTGGCATAATTTGAAGAGAGAGCTTGAATTTGTTCAAACCATGAAGTCACATGGCAACGAAAACCATACTATTTGCCTTTTTGAATTAATAAATGTGCTTTGGTATTCTAAAATAATACCCTGTTGCTGGTAACAGAGTGTTAGAAAAGGCGCATATAAGATTGGTATTTTCATCCTAGAATAACTATAGTTCCCCCAGATTTTCCCTGAGGTCGTAATAAGCCAAAGTACTATGGAAGAACACATATCACTAACGAACAGAAAGATGTTAGCGCGGCTTGAAGGCTATGCCGCAGAGACGAAACACAACCTCCACAGATCGAAGGGATCACATGCTTAAAAATGCTGGTAGATACAATACAAAATCACTACATAGCAAATGACTTCTGTATACATTTATCCCCACTGAAATCATACAGTATTTCATGCAGCAACAGGACGTCGATCGCTTTCTACATTATCGCTACCGTGTTTTTAAATGTCATCTGATTTGCACAATGTTACGTTGCGGTCGTTGTATGCAGCTATTTCAAAAGCAAGTATGTCGGTATTTTTCGCTAAAGTATCTGCCATTTATGCAGCTGTAATGAAGCAATATTATGACTAAACAATACTGAACAGTACATAATAAATACGCTTTTTAATAACTTTGTCTTGATAAGATTAAACAAATCGCTGCCATGTCCAGGTAATATTTTCTAACAGACCCTATCACTGAACTATTTGTATCAATT